TAATTCTTATCTAATTTTATAGTTGTAACTTCAATCATATAAAGTTTATATAAATTAAGTAGGCAATATAATCATTTTGAAGTCACATTAAGATCATCGACCAATACTTCGAATTAATAATACTTTCTTGGAACTGCGGTACGTCAGATCTATAATAAAAACGATAATTCTTTTTGTGTAACGATCTTAACCAGGCTAAATCATATGATTATTGGTTTTTTCTTATCTAGCAAAGCTCTCGTATACCAAATCTTTTTATTAGCTTGGTTCGCAACTGGTTTGCCAAAATGAGTATTTATTTTCTTATACCTACCATATATCATTTGACAAGGATAGACATAGAAGATTCGCCGGTTCAGGTACTGCCATACTTTTAAAGTATGTTAATTAGTATATTTATTTATTCTATTTATGATCGTATGTTCATATTTTTTTTTTCTTTTTTTTAAAAGCAAAAAAGAAAAGTTGTCCAACTCAATGGATCCCTTTCAACTTGTCATCTTAATATAAACTTGAAAGTGCACATCGAAGCTAAAATAAAGAACATGAACGAAAAACATTATGTTAAAAGTTTTTATCATTTTGGATTTGGAATCAAAAAGGATAAATACCGGGTGTTCTTGTATTATCAAAAGTCTATTGAGATGGAAGATTTTGATCGTGGACTTGGAGTCAGAAATAAAGTGTTTATTTTTTTTCAAAAATCGGATATCGCTAGTGGAATCAAAGGTAAATATAAGATATTCGAGTATTATCAAAAATCAGAGATCAGTTGTGCTGATAGAATATTTAGTCTTGGCGATTGCTATCAAAATAGAACTAGAGTTGAGAAGAATAAATATAAGGCATTCGAGTATTACCAAAAATCTAATGAAAAATTCCATTCAATCTGTTTCTTTCAAAAATACGACATCCAAAGATATTTGTATAATGTGCCTAGATACTTTTGTGGATTTAGATACCATTATTTTGGGTTAAAATATCATCGAATAGCTTCTGTATTATAAACAATTTAGATTTTTACATTGTTTATTAAGTATATGTTCGAAACTTAAAATAAATTTTAAACATTTTTAAGAAATTGATTGAATTTATGCAGGATTGATATTTAATTACGTTGTACATGTGTCATTAATTAACCCCTGTTATCATTATAATACGTAATAAT